TTTCCTCCACTTACTTACTTGGATAAATTACTTACTCTCCCTTACTCCAGTTATTTCAGCTGTAAAAGGGAGAAAAACAATTAGTGCTTATGTTAGAAGATTATTATGAAGAGCTAATAGAAAATGCTTTATAATAGTGCCTATTTAAGTACTGTACAATAATTTTATAGAATATTTTTATCACTACATGCAATACTACAATCCACTGATTTTATATGTATCTAAACTTCAACTTTTGAATAGGTCTGATTTGTTTGAGGACACAGAACAAATTCTTAACCTGACATGTAAAGCCTTCTGCAAGCTGGCCTCTGCCTATTTCTCCTCTGCCTTCCCAAACTCCAGGCATACTGATTCTGCCTACACTTCTCTGAGTGTACAATACTGTGTTCTTTTCTGGAACTTGCACACACATTTCCCTGTTTTTGAATTCTGTTACATTGTTGTCCATCTTTTGAAGCCTCTGCATCTTTCAAAGCCAAGATCTTGGATCCCTATGTCTTTGAAATCTCCTTTGAACAAAGGATTTATGATTATCCTTACTTTATATCGCCATTTTGTACCCATTAGGACACTTTTCATACTGCAGCTATTTGCTTACAAAAGTGCCAAACACACAAGACCACAATAAATATGTGGAAAAGGGCTCTCACTTGTTCATTTCTATAGGGCCCTAACTGAATATAATGCCCAATATGTTATGTGAATGCTTTCTCAATTAATAAAACAACAATCTAAAGCTGAAGCTCTGCTCACATTTTATCACAAGGCTGTTTCCTTACGTGTGAAGGTGTGGTAGGGCTGGGAAAATGCATAGCCTCCAGGGATACGCTGAAATCTTTCAGTCACATGGGACCCATAAAGCACTCTAACATGAGTCATGTTTTATGAGTGTTGAATAAGCACTGAACTAGGAATAGGTAGATCCAGGTTCTAGCTATCACCCTACCATTCTGTGGTTATGTGAGCTTGAGCTGGACACTTGTATTTACAAACTAAAAAATGCAGGAGTGGCAAAAAAGGGTATCTAATGGCAAAGAATAAATTTAATGTCTAAAAGAAGATCTGACATACTCAAGTTCATTATAACTTATTCCCTTACATAAACAGGTGTTTCTAGATCAGAAGTGACACAATCAGCGATAATTTCTAGTGTCGAAACTCATTACATGACTATCAAGTTTGAAGCTTCTTTTGAAAAATGAATGTGTCAACGTATTTCTCATGTTCCAAAAGAAATGTGTGAAAGGGTATTCCCTGGGCCCTTAAGTAGCATGATTTCAACTGCTTTCTATTTTACCAACATTTTGGGTTAATTCGGGTCTAAATGATTGCTGTTTACAAACTCAGCTGTATGTGTGTACAGATTTCTGTTGGTTGTAGGATTAAGACATCTCGATATTTATAAACATTTTAGAATTGAAGATGCCAAGTAGTTTTGTCCTAACTTAATAAAACAAATCTAATTGTCAAGAAAAGCCTTATTTTTTCTTTACGTCATGATTATGGATGGAGAAACCCCAAACAGAAAGATGATTTAGTGAATTTAAACATTTTATTTTTTCAACTGATTTAATATGGTTGTACTGTTTTGATTGAGCAGAAATTAGAGAATTAAATTCTTTTACAATAAATTTTCACCATGCCTGAGAGTATTACATTGAGGAGGTACCCCTTCTTGGGTTGAGGATGTATCACTCATACAGTGCCTGAGAGATTTGTTGAATATCTGCTACATGCAGAGCTAAATGTTTTACAATTATCATCTTACTATCAGTGAATACTTAAGTCAGTGTTATATTAACATATTAAAATTACTGGGACTTTATGGATAAGGGCAATGAAACCCAGAATAATTAGTAAAAGTTAATATTTTAGCCCAGCTGTTAGATTCAAAGGCTGTACTCTCTGTGAAACACCACACTGCTATCACTAAATGAAATGTAGCTAAAAAGGCAGCATTTGGACTGTGTTTCTGGAAGGGACTGAAGTGAAGGCTGATATAAGCAGAGCACCAGGGAAGTCAGAGTACACGTGAACTGTGCCCTAGTGCAGTGCTTTTCAAATATTAACATTCAGACAGATTACTTGAGTATGTTGTTGAGTTGCAGAGTATGATTTAATAGGTTTGGGCAAGGGTCTGAGATCTTGCTATGCTTACAGTTCCCCCGTGATGCAAATATTGCTGATTCTCAGACTATGCTTTTGAGTAGTCAGGCACTATTTCAGCACTATTTCAGTACCATGGACAGTGGAACAGGTGGGCCACCACTACCATCTTCTCATTTCAGTCCAATCTCTATTAACGTCTATGGGTAGACTCTTGCAACAAACACAGTCAAAATCTTTAAAAAGTAATTTTTGGATTTCTATAAGCTACTTGGTGATTATTGCCTTCAATTGTTGCACAAATCTGTTCAGAGGAAAAACTGGGCTTTGGAAGGAAGAGAGTGTGGCTCCTTTCGCATTTCTAAATGGTATGCTGCCAGTGCCCCTAAGGCAAAAAGAATCTAATCAGGTTTATTATCTAACAAGGAGGTATCTAATTATCTAATATAGATGATTCTGTATCTAATACAGAATTTATAAATATTTAAGTAGTCATATCAGCCTCAACATTATAAAATATCAATTTGAGAGGGGTTAGCACTGTTACTTGCACATTTAATGAACAGAAATTACCAACATCTTTCTACTGTGAAATCCACTGAACTATTAGTCAATTGTACATAATGAGAAAGAAAAAATGAAAGATATGACAAAGTGCTATTCAAAATCACACTGAAATAAAAATGACCTTAAAATTGTAATTTTAAACATATTCCTCCCTCCTATTTCCTTATTTCAAGAACAAAGTCAGAAAGTTCATTTTCTTTATTGACTGTACCCTCTACTTTGAAAAAGTGACTATGGCTGCCAGCAGAAATACTTCAGGGTCTTTAAGACTATCAATTTCACATTAAGAACAAAGCCATTCAGATAAAAATCTAGCAAACAATTCCATTTTTTTTCCCATTGAAGACATTTTTATTTTCTGTTTGAGGACCGCTTCTCAGCTCTAAAAATGCTATGGGCTAAAATGGCAAGAGAAATTGAAACTAATCCCACACAAACTTTCTAATAGCCCTTCCATTAGACTTGTTACATGGCCTCTTAAAAATACTGATTAATTTTCATTTCAATGTATGTTTCCAAAATTTATTCATTAAAATTAATTGACATCCATTAGACTTTCATAATAGTATATCAAGAGTGAAAATGTTGATCTTCATATTTTGACATTTTTTTTTAAAGTTGATCCTTGATTCCAGATGAATAGTCTTTTTTTTTTTTTTTTGGATGATGTTAATTTCATTTTAAAAAGTTTGATGTGAATGTATATATGTTCAATTACATATATGTTGAGGACTCATAAGAATATTATACATATCATTTCATTCAATTCTCACAACACTTTGAAATAGACACTTTGTTCCTACTTAGATATGGGAGAAATGAAGTACAAAGTCCCTCTGTTAGTAGGTGGTTGAGCTTGGATTACTCTCTTCCTACTATGCACTCTTATAAGATGGGCTTGTCCTAGTGGAAATTTACACACCTCATATGGACATAGCAAAAAATATCATGCGTGAAGTATAGTGCTACTTGATGGTGAGAAGTAGAAAATAGATGACTTCTACCCATTATTTCAAAAGCAGATGTGCAGCTAAATTCAAAATCCATTACTGGCATGGTACATTCACTTTCAGATGGGAAGATATTGGCCATTAGTAAAGATAAATAATTTACCTGAGATTCCCTTCAGTACTCAATGTCAGGGAAAATTTATAACTAATATGTTGAGAGTTGCTCAGACTACCGAATTGCAGATAATCATCTATTTACAGGCCATTTTACCCATCTTCTCTGAGACTAACATCAATTATTTTTAAAAGAAATCTAAATAATTTCCTTTTTGGTGACCTTACTTAGTCTTTCTTCTTTCTTAGTAAATCACTAAAATCTGAGTTCATAGTTCATAAATGAGGAATCATCAATATCTGTGGCCTTAAGAATGTGCTTATTCCCTTTTTTCATGGCTCTTTTCAGTCTTTTTTTTTTTTTTTTTTTTTTTTTTTTTTTTTTTTTTTTTTGAGGAAGGCTCATTCAATGCTTTAAATGGCTAGATGACCATTTTAAACATTTCGCCATGGGTCTTAGGATGTCATTGCAAATGATCTATGGACTATGAACCTATTTTTATTACTCATTCCTTAGCTGGCGAGGGGAACCAGAAGGTGTTCTTCTCAGGAGCTTTATGGACAATGTGGCTTCAGGGTATTTCTTTATAAAATACAGAGGCAACTAGGAGGAAGGTCCAATGGAAGCACACTCCTTTGATAGGGTGCTTGACAAATGAGTTTAAGAAAACCTAAGAGAATTGAGCAGGTGGCTGTGGGCTAGAATACTAGATGCAGGTGGGGTAAAAATAAAACTACAGATGGTTTATAAAGGTGACTCATCCTTCCCCCACCCCAACTCCTTTACTTTACTTTTCTTTCTTTTTATAAAACATTTTGATTGTGAAATCTCCACTAAAAACGCACAATCTCTATATTCTTCTAGTGAAGGCAAGAAGGTTATACCACAGGAAACCTGTTCCTACAGTCTCTTCTCATTGCCATATCTGCTTTTAAAGATTTTTTTTTCTAACGTGGAAATTTTTGCAGGGATCTCCTCCATCCCCCACCCATACATTGTACACCCGCCAGAAGCAAACTTTTCCTGAAGATGAGATAAACAGACCACATACTGAAATACACAAATATACTGCATCAAAATATCATACTTGCCTTCTAAGTCCACCAGAATAACATACTTGCCTTCTAAGTCCATCACTTAAAACACATCCAGGGACACAAGCGTAGCACATCCCCTGTGCATACCGCTGGCCTGCTCTGCTCAGGTCTAGGCGGTGGTTGAAATATCAGGTAATCAGTTTTACATGAAAACGTACTTACAGAATTGGTCTGCATATATAGTCATCACTGTCTTTGCCGAATTAGAGATGACATACTTTATGAACAGGACACAGTCTCCCCTCACTGGATATTTGGGGTCAAGGAACTTGAACCTCTCATTGGCTTTCATGTTTGCAGCTGAACAACCGCACTGCTCATCGAAGCCCCCTGCGCGTCAGTTCCCTCTGTCTCCCATTCCCCTCGCCCATGGGTCTTGCACGCCCCCCACCCCCCATAAGCCGCTGTCCCGAGCCCCTTGCCTTGCCAGCGGGACTAGCGGACGGGGCGGGCCTAGGCCGTGTGTTCTCGGGCCAGGTCTGGTTTTGCTCGCGCAGCCCGCCAGGGGGACCCCGACCCTCCGGGCGGCAGCTGACGAGAAAGCGTCCGAGGGGCGTGGAGCCGGGGTCCTGCGGCGCCTGCTCCGGGAGCACCCCGAGTCGGCCGGAGCTCCCCCGCCGCTCCGGAGAACCGGGGGAGCCGGTGCCTGGCTCCTGAACCCGCGGTTCCGCGGCAGCGAGCGGCGGGCCTCGCGGGTGGGTGTGTCCGCTTCCGCACGCCGGCCTTCCCGCTGGGGAAGAGCGCCTGGAAGCCGGACTTTGTTCCTGAAGATGGGTTTTGCCTGCGGGTGATTCGAGCTCTCCAAGTGCAACTTTGTGGCCGGGGCGCGGATCGGCCGGCCTGGGGACCCGCGGAGGGAGGAGCGGATCCTGCAGCGTCCTCCAGGAGGAGGGTCGGCAGGACCGGGGTTCCCACAGGTTTGGGGCGGCGGAGAGCTGGGCTCCGTTCGGGATCGCGGGCGCGCAGCGACGCCCCTGGAAGCCCGCCCCGGCCCCCGCCCCCGACCCGCCTTTTCGGGGCTTGAAGGCGTGAGGTTGGGGCTGGGATCCGTCTGGAGCGGAGCAGAAAACTTTTCCCCTCCCAGTTCCCGGTTCCTTTTGTCTTTCTTGGCCGCGGCGGCGGCGGCGCCAGAGCCGCGACTCCCTCGCCCCTGCCCGGCTCGCGGCGCCCGGTGCGCTCCGAGGACAGGCGTGCCGGGACTCTGCGCCCCAGTGGCGGCGGCCCGCGTCGAGCACGGGCAGCGGGCGCGTCCCCTGCCCGCAGGCCACCGGTGCCCCCTCCTCCGGCGCGGGCATAGGGGCACCCCCACCCTCCGCCAGCTCGCGCCCCTCGCCGCCCGCCCCCTCGCCTGACTCATCCGCCCGCGGTGGCCGCACAAGCCCTGGGATGGGGAGGGAGACCGCGGCTGCCCGCGGCCGCTGAGATTCCAGCTGACGCCCCCGACCCCACCGCCGCCTTCGTCCGCCTCCAGAGGCGCCCGACGTCCCAACAGCTCCTGGAGTGAGACGAGAACTGAGAACCGGGAGAGGCGACCCGATCCCCAGGGCCCGGTGCTGAGGACAGGTGAGGGGAGGAAAGGGTGCTGCCGGGCGTGGGGAGGTGGGTGGGCGGCCACCGCAGCCGAAACCGGGCACTTCCCTCCGCTGCAGCCTCCAGAGTTAGGTAAACGCTGTCTCTACTGAAGTTTCGGAAATAAACCAAGTCCTCCATTGGGTCCGGATTCCCCAGTGCCCAGAGCCCCAGAGAAGCCGTGCGGGGCAGCCTCGGAGAACCCGGAGTCCTGGAGCGCCCAGCTGGGTTTCTCCAAGCAACACCCTCCTTTGTCTCGGTTCCTGAGAGTCAGCATTCTCTGTAATGTCCACAGCGTTAATTTATGATTGAGAAAAGTATGGTCAGGGTTTCCTAAAGCAGTATCTGGATGGGGTAGAATCTACACAGGCAAAATAGAGGCAAAGCAATTATTTGCAAAATTTAGCACTACTCTTCTCCCTGTATAGTCTTGTCCGAAGGAGAAAGGACTGGGGCTTTCAGGATTTGCTTCATTAATCATTCTTTTGCGATAAATTGTTCAAGCCAACACTTCACATTGTGTAGGCGAAAGCTCTCCGTGTGTGCTTACCTCTGTTTGATTTCGAGAAATGTGTGCGTGTGTTTGTGTGTGTGTTTTTAATAACAATTTATTGTTCAGTACCAGGCATTGGTAATGTCAGAGAGAAAGGCAGATGCAGCACATACATGTAATTGACTAATTGGAATCAGCCCCGTCCAATTAAAAGCTAACTGTGTTGTGTTTAAAAACTACTTAGTTTTTAAAACTAAATATGGTGTCTGGTGTATTTAAAAACTAAATATGTGGGACTAACGTGTCTCTTGCCTTGTCTCTTCTGAATACCTTCAGAAGTAGTTATGGACAACTGCGTAGAAAACACTTCAAGAATCGATAATTATTCTTTGTGAGAAAGAATATTGAACTCTCGGTTTTGCCGTCAAACCGAGTTCAAAGGCACACTTGCTGTAGAGCTTGTGAAAGCTAGTTATTTTGTCATTTCTTGAGTTATGGAAACACTTATCAAAAGACCTTCAGTTTGATATTTGGCTATTGATACTAGAAAATATTATCATTTTGTGAAAAGTAGACTAAATTTTGAAACTTTTAAAATCTTTGTTTTCCCACTACTGTTTGCCTACACAGAAGCAGGTGATTGTAGTTTCTTCTTTTTAAACACCTCAGGTGAAGAACATAAGTCCTTCTAAACAAAATAATACTTCCATTAAGTGGAAACTATAGTTAAATCCTTGATAATTTAACATTAGGATTTTTTTTTTTACTTTAAAAATACACACTAAGGTGTTTAGAATGATTTTTTAAACCAAGTCCTACTAGACAGCTCATAATTATGAGATAATTTAGCTACAATTTGTAACCCTATTTATAATCAGCTTTGTGGAAAGCCTTCGGTAAAGAGATTTCCAGGCAGTTAACACAGAAAGGCTGCACCTGTTGCTTTTGAGACAGGTTTAGGTAAATGCGTATAGTGTCTAAAGACACCCATAATCAGAAGGGATTCTTCAGGAAAGATCACAGTAAAGAGGGATGGCTGCACTTGTTACTTTAACTTAGAGAAATTTTTCGTGAGGCTTTTGAATACTTCCAAGAGTTAGATTGCTATATTTGGACTTGTGTAGTTTCAGAATTTTGACAATAGCTCATTGGACAGAAAAGGATAACTATTGACATATAGAGGGAGTGGATCTGAACTGATTGGTTAAATTCTCTACTTCTAATGACTCTTAGCATAAAGGAGAGAAATTCATATTTAGCTTAGGAAGATAGATAAGAACAAAGATAAAAGCAAGTCAAGCAAAATTAGTAGAGGATAAATAAGTCCTTGTAGTCATACACATTACTTATCAAATATAAGGTAGAATTTAAAAGAGGAGGCAGTTTAAAAATAAATTTTGTATAGTGTTACTCTCCCTAAACAGAACATCATGGGAAGTCTTTGTTGAGCAAAACACATTTGGAAAAATAACTTGTGTAGGGACAGAAAACCAAACCTGCAATGAGATGGACCTCATTTTATTAAAGAATGTATATATGATTTACAGTTTTATCAAGCAGATCCACTTGTTCCTGGACTTACACTATGTTTATCTGATACGTGCTCAAAAACTCAGAAAATGTCGATGAGTGCTTGTTGTGGTGTCATCCTAGCTTCCCGCCCCAGGACTCTGCTATGGGCTTATAGGCTGATGGAGAGAGGGAACTGATAAATGTACCACAGATCACCTGGAAGCTGAGGTGATCTGAGAGCATCGGGGACCAGTGCAGACTGGGAAGCAGCATAGTGGGTTGTAAAGGGCCCTGGATGGGAGTTGTCATCTTGACTGAGTCACTGATTAGGTGGCTGTGGGTGAGTTCTTCTGCCTTTCTGGTCCTTGGTGCCCTCTTCTGCAGAATGAGAGCTTTGGACTGGTGAGCTTTATGTTCTCTTTCTAAGACGCTGCAAGGCAAATTCCGCAGAATTAAAGAAAGAGAAATGATGTGTGTGGGAGGGTGGTTTGTAGGGTTTTGGTTGGAGGAAGACAGGCTGGAGGTCTTGCTGGTTGTATTGAAATGGAAATGGCAAAGAGAAGTAAAAAATATCTGGCCTGGGACATCTGGCCTAACATTGATTATCTGAATTGAACATACATAATAAAATAATAAAAATACCAACTTTCACTTAGTACTGGGTGGTTTTCCACGAATTTTCACAAATGATGGCAATTGATTTTCATAAGAACCCTCAGAAGTAATTAGAGCGGAAAGGCGATGAATCCGGGACTAATGCTGTGAAGCACAACTGCACCAGTGTGCTCCACTGCCTTTCTGCAGGATTTGTAGAGATAGGAGAAGCTAAAGCTCACTTTGGAAACTCTGAGTAAACAGGGAAGAGAGAGAAGGTTGGTGTCAGATTTTAGGTGAGGTTGAATTTCTGAGTAAGAATTTAGGTTACATTCTGGAACACAGAAGTCTCCAATTATGAGCTCAAGACTTCCTGAAATGCCTTGAATTCTGATTATTGATGTTTAATCTGATTGCTCCTGTTCTGTCCTCCTCCTCACCTCAGGTCCCCCTCCCACCCCCCACCCCGACCCACTTCCCCAGCAGGAATTCTGGAGGTTGACTATCACAGAGTGGTATGACTCTTCCAAGAGCTTTTCATGATGCTGGAAAAGGGAAATATATGCATTTCATATTGAGGATTCTGGGGCCATTGTATCATTAATTAATAGGATGTGTTCTGCAAGTTGTGCTTTGGAAACTTTGTCACCAGAGGTGAAATTACACAGAAGGCATAGAAATCTAGCAAGGTGTAGGATGAGCATCTGTACATTCCTTCCTGCAGAGCCCTAATCACTCTGCCCTGAGCACGAAGTGCATGAAGGGGGGACAAGTCCCTCACCACCCAATTCTGTGTTCACCACCCCGCTCTGTGTTCATGTAGAAGGGAGTTATTTAGGATTCATTTACTTGTATGTGTGAATATTTAACTAGGTAAAGCAAAAAAAGACTTACTGGCTCATGTGACCAGAAAATCCAATGATGGTCCTTGCTTCAATCATGGCTGGAACAGAGATGTACACAACTTTGCTGGGCGTCTTTCTCCCCCCATTTCTGGGCCCTACTTCTCTCTGGGTCAGCTGTATTCTAAGGCATTCTTTCTGTGCATGGAGAAAGATGAATGTGGGTAGTTCTAAACCTACATTCCTGGGCTTTTCACCTATGTGAGAGAGAGAGGTGTCGATTTTCTTCCAGGTCCCATTTATATAAATCTCCTTGAAGGGCTCTGATTGGCCCTGCTCCGTGGTAATTGAATTGGTGTCTGTGTCTAACAGAGTGCTACTCTGATTGTACTGGACTGGATTGTATGCCCAACTCTGTGTATATGTGGTTCTGGTGCTGGAATGAGGAGGAGGAGGA